CTCATCGGTCTGGCTGGCACCCTGGCATGTCACACCCCAATGGCTGGTTTTTGCAAGAGTCGGGGAATGTGACTGAGCCTGCTGCCCTATTGCTTGGGGGAGGGGAGAGCTTGGGTTCTGTGCCCACATCAGCTGGACCCTCTGGGTCTGAGAACTACCTTTGAGAGCAGTAGCTCAACGATTGCGTTGGCTACTTGCATCACAACAACCCCCACGGTAGATTTGCCCACGCCAAAGTGGTTTGCGACTGACCGGTAGCTGTCTGGCGTTGCAAGCTTCCAGAGGGCTATGGCCACTCGCTTCTGGACAGTCAGGGCTGCTCGCATCCGGGTGTCCTTGCGCTTCAGGGCAGGGGACAGCAACTCACAAAGTTCCAGGAAAGTCCCCTTCCGCATGCGAAAGTTTCGCAGCCACTGTGATTCATCCCAGACCTGCAGCACTATGCGGTCCCACCAGTCCGTGCTTGTTTCCCGGGCCCAGAATCGCCATTCCACAACATCAACATGACCCATTGCCACCATGATGTCCTCGGCGCGGGGTCCCGTGCTTTGTGACAGGTCTGTGCCACTCTCAGACTTCAGGTCCTCACCGCGCTGCCGTAGCCTCCTCGCCCGATTTCTCAGCATCTGCCTCTGGGAAAGGTGGATGATAAGGTGCGAGGTGTTGACAACGGCCATAACTGCAGCGATGGTCGCAGCGGACTCCATGCTCGCAGTGCTGTGGCGTCCGCGCTGTCACTGACCAGAAAAGTGCGCAAACTGATTTCCCGCCGGCGCTTTCAGGGAGGGAGGGCGGGACTGACGGTTGGATGATGACAGTTACCCAAAACCACCCTCGACACATTTTTTTCCCCAGAAGGCATTGGGGGCTTGACCCAGAATTCCAATGGGCAGCGGGGACTGCGGGAACTGTGGGATAGCTGCCCACAGTGCACCGCTTCCAATGTCGACGCTTGCCCCGTTAGTGTGGACTCACAAAGTCGAATTACTGTCCTTAGTGTGGATACACACGTTCGACTTTGTAATATCGATTCCACATATTCAATTTAAGTAAAATCGAACTACTCTCATAGTGCAGACATACCCATAGAAAGAAAAGGGGACAGTGAAGCCTGTGTTAATGGCTACATAGTATGGCCAAACAATGAGCAAGGTATGTGGTGGCCATTATTAACAGAGTTCACTGAAGTAATGCCTGCAAAGAAATTCTGCTTGCCTGCTCCTGGGGAAGCTTATTAAAGCCCAGACCCCTGAAGGAATTACTTATCTCCAGCTTTCTCACTTGTATGACACACTCTGTGATACTGTTACACTGATGTTCACATGCAATTTCTCTTTCAGCTTTGGGTCCCAGTCAGACACCAGGAACATCTGCAGAAGGTATGTGATATTCTAACAGAGAATGTTTCGTTATTAGCAATGATTAGAGGCATGAAAACAGATCACTCAAATTCTGTCTTGTAGAATAACAAATAACCTCTCTGACGATCGTCTCCTCAGCTCACTCAAGCTAAGCAGGGTTGGGTGGGAGGTGAGGAAATGGATGGGGGACCTCAAGGAAAAATTCCAGGTGCTGCAGAGAATGGTGCTGGTGATTAATTGGAGCTCTACCTCCTGAGTCAGTACAGAACGATTACACCTGGATGGTGTTGGAGGACCCACACTGCTGCGGTGTACCATTGTCTAAGGGCTAGTCTACACTTACCCGGTAGTTCGACGGCTGCGGATCGAAGTTCCGAGTTCGATTTATCGCGTCTGGTCTGGACGCGATAAATCGAACCAGGAAGTGATCCCCGTCGACTGCGGTACTCCAGCTCAGCGAGAGGAGTACCGCGAAGTCGACGGGGAGCCTGCCTGCCGCGTGTGGACCGCGTCTGAACCGCGGTAAGGTCGAAGTAAGGTATGTCGAATTCAGCTACGTTATTCACGTAGCTGAATTTGCGTACCTTACTTCGATTTGGGGGGTAAGTGTAGACCAGCCCTAAGAGAGGCAGAAATTGGAAATCCCCATTTATGGTCGTAGAAGATGTTATAGCGGTTCTTAAAATCCCCTGTGTCCTGAGCAACTTCTCTAGTTTGTGCAGTTACAATCTTCCCACCTACATTCTCATTGCTGTGTTAAATGGATGTGACATTCTTCCCCATTTTTGTGTCCTCATTTGTTACAAGTGGCACTGTGCAGTGCTATCATAGTTCACCCTATAGGTGGCTGCATTTCAGGGGTGGGTGAAGTGATTCCTACAGTCTTTACTCACATGGGCAATTTCGGTAAGGGCTGCAGGATCACGCTATAGTTAAATGGTTTTGGGGGTCCTTTATGATGAGGTTTAATACATTTAAGGTACTATCATTCTATTGTTAAAAAGTTTTATTGTGTAGATATATCTTTATTCTGAATTTCTAAAGCATCCTGTCACTGTCTTAGATTACAGGGTGAAGTATAGAAAACATATACAAAAAAAGTACCAACTAATAAAAGACAGGAACGCTTGTCTTGGTGAGAATGTGAATCTAAACAGCAGATACACAAAGCTGATTATTGTTAACAAATATCGTCATGAAAAGCAGAGAGAACATGAAATAATGGCAGTGGGACGGAGACATGCAGAAATCATGAATGAACAAGCTCATTCTTCAATTACCATAGATACTTTATTTAAACCTGATGAAGATGGACAAACGCCACAAATTGTTGTGCTGCTGGGAGCTGCAGGGATTGGGAAAACAATGACAGCAAGGAAGATCATGTTGGACTGGGCAGCTGGAAGACTCTATCAGGAGTTTGACTATGTTTTCTACATAAATTGTAGGGAAATGAACCTTCTTACTAAGCAGGGAAACATGGCTGACATGATTTTAAAACACTGTCCCAATAATAATGCCCCAATTAAACACATTCTGGAAAATACAGAAAAACTTCTGTTCATAATTGATGGTTTCGATGAACTGAGATTTTCCTTTGATCAGCCAGAAGATAACTTGTGCTCTGATCCCTGGGAGAAGAAGCCAGTGGAAATCATACTGAGCAGTTTATTTAGGAAAACAGTTCTCTCTGAATGCTACTTAATAATCACTACAAGACCAACTGCTCTGGAGAAACTCAGGCAGTTTTTGGAATATCCACGTTATGCAGAGATCCTGGGATTTTCCAAGGAAGACAGGGAGGAATATTTCAACAAATTCTTCAGAGATGAAAAACAAGCAACAACAGCCTTTAACTTTGTATGTGAAAATGAAATTCTCCTTACCATGTGCTTTGTCCCCATTGTATGTTGGATCATCTGCACGGTTCTGAAACAACAGATGGAAAGGGGTAAAGATCTTGCACA